GTAGAACAAATACACTTTTATACTTTGTTCACCTTTTTATCAATGTAGGTAGAAAAAATACACTTTTATACTTTGTTCACCTTTTTATCAATGTAGGTAGAAAAAATACACTTTTATACTTTGTTCACCTTTTTTATCAATGTAGGTAGAACAAATACACTTTTATACTTTGTTCACCTTTTTATTAAATTAGATAGAAAAAAATACACTTTTATACTTTGTTCACTCAAAATACAAACCCCTATTTTGGCTCCACCAAATATAATTCTAGGTAACAGCATGGAGCCAAAATAGGGGTTTGTAGTTTGAGTAGATAATGTCTACAATATGTCCAGCTTTGTTTCCTTACTTTTCTACTATCCCTATTTGTAGGTTTTAAATCTCGAATTTGTCATTTATATTATTTCTGTTATTTAATATTATATGGCTCACTTCAGAATCAAACTATGTGTGGTAATGTACGTGCATTTTACATAATGTCCACACATTGGTTAATTTAATTACTTAAGCCACATTTTCACGTTTTATTGTAAATATTATGTGATTAAAATTTGGAATAAGACAGTGATATGAGAAAACGATGCTATAACTAGACTTAAACACGTCATTCAAAATATAAGTGAGATATACAGCAATTCTATTGAGAGTCTATTCCGACTCCACTATTGCTGTTATTTAATTCTTGTAACTTACTGGTTTCGTAAAATGAGTCCGCGGTAAGCATACGGACGTACACCGCTATAACACAGGGTTCGATTCCCAGCGGTAAACAGAGCGCAGATAGCCTATTGTATAAAATTTGCACGAAAACAAACATGACCATGAAATTAAGATGCACGAGCTTTTTTAGTCAAAAAGGACAAAATTTTGTCTTTTTTTGTCAAATTAGGTGTTAATATGTTTTTACGACAGACAAACAAAGAACAACTTAAAATATCACGAGATAGAAGAACACTCGATCGATACATGTACTGGTTTTCACGAGACGTCTCGTGGCTTATGTGTCATGCTGTAAACAGAGTTCAATGTTTCTTCAGTGTTCGGTAGTTGTATTATGTGTTTGGTTTGTATGGCTTTATATGTATGTTTAAACTTGAAAACAGCTTACATACTTGTGTATCGGTCGGGCGTAGCTTATTGATTAGTGTAATTAGACTGCAAATCCGAGGTTCTAAACCCGTGACCGCGAAAACGTGCTCCGCACATTTTTACCCTCGGTGTGATAGAAAAGTGAAGCTCATATCCCAAGTTCGATCAGCCAAAAGTTACCCCAAAAATGGCTGAGGGTGTTGTTAACTAGCTACCTCCACTCTATTCTATCAGATCAAAATTTTAAATAAAACAAGCAAACAGTATTCTGTATCAAAGTCTGGCTGTAGGACATATGTAAATATCAAATTAATCGTCCTAACAATTAGTGAACCACAAGGAAATTTCTCCACAGAAACTCTTGTTTCTTTTATATCATTAGTTCAGTTTTTCATGTATAGATGTAGATAAAATCGTAAACCAACATGGAAAATATTGTCGAGTAAACCTTGTAACATTCTTGTGAAAATAAGAGAACCTAGTTCTCACCACTTCTTGGCAGCCAGGCACTCTTAAAATTTTGAAAAACACTTCTTTTGAAAAATCTACATTTAACCCTTTTACCACAGGCTGGTGTATTTTGTAGCACCTCGTAACTGCCATGCATCCATGGTAGTATACATAACTGAAAGTACTTCTGTTCGTTGAGGCTTTTGAAGATACCATAATCCTGCATCCATTCATTAACTGAATTATGCTATCGCCACAGATGTTTGGGAGAGATGTAACATGTAATAACCACCGACACAGCTATTTGGGAGAGATGTAACATGTAATAACCACCGACACAGCTATTTGGGAGAGATGTAACATGTCATAACCACTAATACAGAAGTTTGGAAGAGATGTGACATGTCATAACCACCACCACAGAAGATGGAGAGAGATATAACATGTCATAACAGCTACCACAGAAGTTTGGAAGAGATGTAACATGTCATAACCATTAATACAGAAGTTTGGAAGAGATATAACATGTCATAACCACCGCCACAAAAGTTTGGAAGAGATATAACATGTCATAACCGCTACCACAGAAATTTGGGAGAGATATAACATGTCATAACCACCGCCACAAAAGTTTGGAAGAGATATAACATGTCATAACCGCTACCACAGAAATTTGGGAGAGATATAACATGTCATAACCACCGCCACAAAAGTTTGGAAGAGATATAA